CTGATGAATGAATAAATGAAACAAGGTGTAGCCACACGCTGGAATATTATTTAGCCACAAAAAGGAATGAAAGATAAACCTTAAATACATTATGGTAAGTGAAAGAAACTCATGAAAGGCTACATATGGCATAATTCCATTTATATGCACTGCCTAAAATAAGTGTATCCATAGAGACAGAGTAGATTAGAGGTTGCCAAGGTCTAAGAAATGGGTGTTAACTATTAAAAAGGAGTTTCTCTGGGGTATGACAAAAATGTTGTGAAATTAAATAATGGCAATGGCTATAACAACTCTGTGAATACATTAAAACCACTGAGTTGTGCACTTGAAAAATGGAATTTCACCATACATGAATTATGTCTCAATGAAGCTGTTACAAGAAAATAGCAGTAAAAATAAATGTACTTTGTAGACATTGCAACTTAGTTGACAGAAAATAAATTTAGCTTGGAGACAGTTTGTGGTATATAAAAGAAAGTTATTTCCAGTAAAGAATTAGCCAGGTATAAACTCTTTCCTTCCTATCTTGTAAACAATATATATCATGGAAATTAATAAAAATTTAAAAACAACAGTAAGACTTACCCAGGACAATATGTCTAATGGACTAAAATGTCTTTTTTTAGAGAGAGAAGAAAGGACAGATTAAAGTCTGTGATTGACTTAATTTATAATAATGATCTATTTGAGCCCATGGGTTCGAGGCTAGCCTGGCCAAAAAAAAAAAACACAAAAAAACCAAAAAACAGCGAACATTAGGATTATGGGGGAAACGTAGATACAGATTACAGGTGTCCCGAGTGACGCACACGACTTCCGCCAAGTCGACGTCACGCAAGCTGCCGGGCAGTAATCAGACCTGCAGTGTGGGAAACTGCCCGGAAACGAGGAAGCATCCCCGAGCAGGTCGAGAATGCCGAGAAGAAAAGCAGAAAGTGCCCAGTGGCCACGCAGGATGGTTCTCACCCGCGCAGCGCTAATTTGGGGTTATCTCTGTCGCCTTCTCCTCCCTCGCCTGATGACGCGGAAGGGACGCAGCAATGGCCAGAACGCGCCCACTGCGCAGGCGCCGGGAGCAAACGTCCACAGCATGGCCGATCTCTGGCTGAGTCCCGCCTCCCACTGCCCTGGGTTTGACTAGACTACTTCCATGATGAAAATACTTTCACCCAAGTCACTGGTGCAAGAGAGCCCCCTGAAAGGTCCTGCCACACTGAGGCCCACAGACATAAACTGAACCCTGGCTCAAGTGCTATTTTGAAATGGAAAAGTCAATAATACCATAAAAAAAGAAGAAAGCTAAAAATGTGTGCTGTTTTAGATTAATGACTCAAGAAAAGCTGGAAAATCTATTTGAAGACAGATTTAAAGTGTGGCTCGACTAGGGCATCCCAATAGTTTTAAAAATCATGCCAGTGTTCAGAACAGGAAGTAAAGAACAGGCTGGGCTGCTGTTTCCATAATAAAGGCAGCAGTAATACATCCCAAACTGTGTAAAAAAATTATAGAAAATATGGCTATACAACAATAAGCCTTCAATTTTAATGAAACTGGACCTTTTTTGGCAGTACTGGGACTGAACTCAGTACTTTGCACTGCGCTAATTTTTATTTTTTAAACATTTTATTATACATTTATAATTATATTATATATTTATATACACTTTATTACATGTTTTTATTTTTGAGACGGGGTCTGGCTAAGTCACTAAGCTGCCCAGGCTGGGCTCGAACCTGTGAACTTCTTAGCCTCCCTCAACCTCCCAGAGCACTAGGGTTATAGATGCGTGCCACCCTGCACAGCTGAAGCGGGACTTTAGAAAAGAAACATTAAAGTCAGAAAGGGCACTTATTCCAACAGAAAAAAGTCAGAGTTCAAGACTGCAAAACAATAAATTGAGCCTTTTGCTTCGGGATAACATGGTGGATTGCACACTGAAATCTTAGTCTTAGGCTGGGCATGGCGGCATGGGCCTGTAATCCCAATGCTTGGGAAGCTGAGGCAGGAGGATCATTGCAAGTTCGAGGCCAGCCTGGGCTCCATCATGAGTTCCAAACCAGTCTAAACTACATGAGGGGCCAGGGATGTAGCTCAGTGGCGCAGCTCCTACTTGGCAACCTCAAGGTCCTGAGTTCAATTCTGGGTACTGGAAAAAAAAAAAGAAAGAAAAAATAGTAATAATAAAGAAACAAACTACACAGTGAGACCCTGTAACAAAACAAACAAACGAATAAGAAATCTTGGCCTATTTCACTGAGAAAGACCATGGATATTTAATAGCTCAAACAAAATCCTGATTGTATAAAACCACATGAAAGACTTATATAAGTCATGGGATTGTTTCTATTAGAATTATTCTGACAATTTCAGTGTCTCTAGACTCTCTTAGAGTAAATATATTGGTATTTAGGGGAACATGTTAAAAAATTCAAGTCCATTGGTCATGGATTCAGATTCTGATATCCCCTACCTCGTGGGTAATATCCTGGGGTAACACTGTGTGGGACGAAACCACATTGAAGCCTATTGGGATGACACTGGATACTTGCTCGGAGGTCCTTAAATCGCACAGAGAACCGTGCTGAAATGGAGGCTGTTTAAGAACATATTCCGGGGGTTCAGTCACTACAGATAAAGTGAGATGTGTTATTCAGTGATAGGCTGGAGCTCACACTACTCCCCAACTCTGACTGGAGACAGCACCTTAAAATTCACTTTGGTGGGAGCCTTTTCCACTGAAAACAGCAAATGCCAATTGAGATGTTTTCTTTTTTCTCTCCTTTTTTTTTTAGAGGGAGAGTTGAGTGTTAGACATTTATCATCACCCTGTCGATTATATTCCTCATCTTTCTGGTTCATGCTCCCAGCCAGTAAAACCACCCCAAAGATCTAGGACAGTCCACAGACTACTCCCCACGCTCTGCCTCACCTGAATATCCCTTGAGCACCTCAAATGAAAAAAATCCATCTGCCCTCCCACTCTTTCTCAGCAAAAAGCATCACATATGTTGGCCGCAAACCTGAAAGGGAACCTCAGAAACACTGACCCCTTCCCTAGCTTCCATCTTATCTCAGTCCCTTAAAATCTCCGCCATCGGATCCCCTCCAGACCTCTACTGTGGCCCTGGGGGCGCTCACATCCACCCTCTGCACCCTTCCTGGGCTGACGGCCTGCAGACACAGGCAGGAACATGCCACTCCCTTCCCAGAGTCTGCACTGATCCCCAGCGACTCTGCTGTCCAGGGCAAATTGCTCAGCCAGGTGGAGAGAGCCTGCTGGCTTAACTCCGGTCTACCCCGTGCCTCCACCTCATCCCTAACGAATCACAGAGGTGTCATCTGCCCCCCACCACCTCTCACACCCAGCTTCTAAGTGAACGTGACAGTCCATGTCCTCTCTGGGCGCTGGGCATCCCAAAGGCCTTTGGTCTTTGTATTCCTAGGACTGAGTTCAGAGCCGGCCTCCAGAGTCCACTGCAGTTCGCAAAGGAGGATGAGAGCAGCTGGCCCAGGGAGGCTGCTGGAAAGCCTACAGGTGGTGCAGGCAAAGGACCCACGGCATAACGCACAGCACAGAGTCCTGGTCCACCGGCCTGGAAAAGAGTCCGACTGAAGAGCAGCTGTGTGGCTGTAACTGTATCCATTTAGCAGTCTGTAATTTACAAAGTTCACCCATCCTCTGAATGCAGACGAGGAGGGAGAGCCGTCAAAATGTGTTCCAACTTTCCTTAAATCAGAAGGGTTTTGTTTCCTGGCTCCTTTTCCTGGCCCAGCATTTATTTATCTGTGAGAAGGTAGCCAGACATAGTGGGTTTGGTTCAGCTGGTCTTTTCTTTTGTTTTGTTTTTTGGTACCAAGGATCGAACTCGGGACCTTGCGCTTATGAGGCAGGTGGCAGAACCACTGAGCTAAATCCCCGGCCCTTCAGCTGATCCTTTTACCAAAGACCTTCATCATCCTCTACTTGCAAGTTTTGAACTTTCTGTTTTCTCAAGCAGCGGCTCTCCTCCCAGCCCACACGCTGTCTCATCAGCTGTCGTGCTAAACACTGCGGTGACAGGTTGTGCTGGCTCGGGTGAGCTGGATGTGGGCCCATGTAGCAGGCCTCTTCCTGCCAAGCTTCTGGAATCGGGTAGGGCAAAGGTGAGGCTCCACTACTGCCCTGTTATGAGAAGCTTCTGGCAGATACTGGTCCTGTTCCACCCACACCCACTTTTCCTCTTCCTCAGTTACAGAACCCTGATTTTACTTAGGATGCCTCAACTAAAGACAGATGTCCCAGCTTCTCTGCAGATAGTTACCACCCTACACCTAAATTCTGGCCAATGAGGTATAAGCAGTCTTTGGGGGAAAGTTCTTGAAAGGGACATAGCCATGTGCCATTTTAACTCTGTTCTTTCCAGAGCCTGGAACTGGGATGCAATGGCCACAGCTCTAGCAACTATCTTGTCATTTTGTTGTTGTTGTTGTTGTTTTAGTACCAGGGATCGAACTCGGGACCTTGTGCTTACAAGGCAGGCACCGGAACCACTGAGCTAAATCCCCTGCCCTATCTTGTCATTTTGAGAAGGAAAACCTCACACTAACGGCAACAGAACCTAAAGGGAAGAACCCCAGTACCCCAGTCCCAATAACTTCATGAGGAAGCTATCAAGAACTTCCCGCCTCTAGCTCTTTAGTGTGAGAGAACTCGCCCTTCAGAGCTAAATGGGCAGCAGTTAGTGCCCAGTGGCACCAAGTGCAACCCTAACCAGCACGCTGGCCTCCTGGGCAGACTCCACAGAAGCCAGCGGGACCCTCCGGAAAGGTGACGTTGCCAGGAAAGGAGGAGCTCGCTGCACGTCCTCCAGAAGGCCTCCAAAGCAGGCCAGAGGTGGCCAGCAGCTGCAGGCCACAGCCGGAGGAGCCGCGCGCAGAGAAGCAGCCCGCGAGGCAGCAGGTGCCCAGCCCTGCAGCTCCTCCGTGCCGCGGGACAGGACAGCCCCCTACCCCCGTACCTCTTCCAGGTTGCGGAACTCCTGCCGCAGGGCCGCCTTCAGGTCAGCGCATTCTCTCCCGCATCTCAGCGCCACCAGACACTCCTTGGTCAAATGCGGGACCTGATCAGAGGACAGCGTTCTTAGAGGAGAAGTCTGTGGGCCCCCACGTTCCTGCCCGGCCGCAAACTGCAGTGACGCTTCCCGACTCCAGCATCGCAGGCCAGCGCCGCACAGAGGCCCGGCTCCCTGTGCTGGCACCAGGTGACTCCCAGGGAACCCGCCCCTCTCAGCACCCTGGTCACAGGCCAGGCGCTTAGCAGGTCCCCCAGGGCTGCTGCTTCCATGCCCTGCGTTCCTAGGCACCAAACTGAACCTCTAAGCCTCAGTGTCTGCATCTGCCAGGAACAGTCCCCGCCTCCCAGGGCAGGTGTGGCATGAAACTAACTGGCCTCTATAAAGTAGGGTGGTGCTGGGCACATCCCAAGTACTCAGTATATGTTCATTTTTCACATCATGGGGTTATTTTTATTTATTTTTGAACTACAAATTGCTGCATCACTTTTTCTTTCATTATCGATAGCTGCCACCTCTCCTCTCTCTGCACGAGTGCTGGCACTCTTGTCCCACTTAAAGGGCAGTATTTTTTGCCCTGAATTCCGGGAAATATTCCCTTTAAGGATCACCAGTTCTCAGTTCTTTCAGCATCACTATTTCAAGTCATCCAGCCTTTGTCATGTCATGACGACACCTGCCAGGTCTGTCGAGGGAAACGGAGAAGCACCCAGCAGTCAATTTAGCCTTCAGCCTTTGCCCTCCCTGGCCATCCCCACGTTAGTTCCACTTCAGGGTCTCGAGTATTAAAGTGAAACACGTGCACCAGTGGCTTGACTGCAGTGGCCTGAAGCTTGGGAAAGGGACCCAAAGTAAAATGAGTGAAAGTCGGTCTGTGAGGTGGAATATACCTTACAGAACAGCTCCAGTAACATCTTTTGGCATGCCCGTTCATAAGTGTCATACGGAAACAGCTTCCTTCCCGGGTACGTGTCGTCCAGGTGATGACCGACTGACTCATAGATCAGTTGGCACTGACTATTCTCCAGGACAGGAATTTAGCCAAAAGGGTGTTTTCTGTAGTACCAGTAGGGCTTGCTTTGCAGGATAATGTTGACAACTTCATGTCTTACGAACCAAAGGGGAAGGAAGGCAGGACAAAACTGAGAAGTGTGTGCAGGCAGATGCTCTTCTGGAAACCAGAAACTGGAATTAAAGTCTGTAATTACAATCTTTTCCTTAGGTTTAAGTTTTATGTGACATACAGAGTGCCAGCATCCTCACTCCTGTGTGAGAAGTGTTAGACGTTTCCTAGGCCGTGTCCTCCATGCCTCGAGATTCCTCGTGAGATGGGCTTGCACCATCGGAAATGGGACTCAGGAGGCGGAGTCTCAGACCCAACTCCGCCGTCACTCTGGACAGCCCCGCCCGAGACCTTGGCCAAATCCCAACACCCTTCTGCGCCCAGTGTCCTTAATCATAAAAGAGGGGCAATGATTCCACTGATCCGCTGGCATCCTGTGATGATCAAGCAAGTGACTATAAAGTTTCAGAATAGTGCCTAGTCCCCTAGCATGCAGTAACTTTGAAAGTCTTATGATTAGTTACGATTGCCAGAGCTTCAGGCCCACGCAGTTACCAGAGGCAGGCACAGGTATCTAAAAAGATTAAAGGCAGCACTCGCGAACATTCTTTGCTCAGCCTAAAAGGCAGCCACCCCTCCTGAGGGAAGCATGGCAGTGTCTGCGACACTGGGGGGAGGCAGAGTCCGGGAAGGGCAGGGGAAGGAGAAGTAGGGTATTGTACTGCTAAATAGTCAGCAAAGCAGAACATCCCCCACCCACTCCCCTCCCCAGGAAGAATTATCTGGCCCAAAACGTCAGTACTGCTAAATGAGAGAAGCCCTGCCCTAATGAATAAGCTGCAAATTTGTTCCCAACTGGGCAAAATATTGAGTTTCTGTTATTTTTCTCAAAACACAGGTATCCTTAGGGCCAAGTAGATTTGAACAAGAGGGAAGAATCTGGAAATATGTGTCATTTACACTTAACAAGGTAGAATTACATCATTTTACTTTGACCATCTCTCTGTGGAGCTCTGGATTCTTTGACTTGAGTCGGCCACTCTGAAGCAACCCCTAACGAGGACTGCCCAGAGCAAGCCGGAGCTGGGTGACACATTCTCACACTCCAGCTGGGGGCCAGGTACACCTTCCAGTCCACATTCCAGCCAAGCTGCTCTACCTTCTTCATCCAGACCTGCAGGAGCTGCTCTTACAGAGTTCCTTCTGGGAGGCTGTGTGCCCATTTCCCCCCGTACATTAGAACCTTCCCGCCACCTCCCGGCACCAGTTCCTTCCAGCTCAGTGTTTGGAAAGATCTGTTTTTCCCATCAACAAACGTCTTTTGAGTCCTTACTATGTGCCAGTCTCTCCGCTACTCCACGAATGGAAGAGATAAATCCCTGCCTTGCAGAACTCCTGTCTTTGGCAGTGCGGGGTCAGTGTGGGGAGGAGTGAGAGAAGCTGAGGTGGTAGGAATGGAGGAATGATGACAGGTGAACAAATAAGGAAATGCTGGCTGCCAAGAGATGAAGAAATAGAGCCGAGCTGACCTAAGATGCCTGGGCTGGGCGTGGGAGCTACATGGGAGGAGCACGGGGGCCACTGTGGCCTTGGCCGTGCCCTTCCTGACCAGACCTCGGGGAGGCTCTAGTCTGCCTCCAGTCTACTCTGCAATGTCTCAAAGTGTTGTGCACAAATGTGACTGGGGGCTTACATTTCAGGAGGACTTGAAAAAAAGTCTGCCTTTCTGCCAACCTCTTACTGACTTTGCCTTGGAAGAAAGAGCCAAGGAGCCCCTCCTAAAGTCCCAGGGTGCCCTGGGTTTGCAGGACTCCCCCAGCCTGTGGGGCAGGGCTTGCTCAGGGAATGCTGGGCTCCAGCTCCTCACCTGATGCCTTTGGCCTTGAGGACCAGCCTGGTCCTGTGTGAGTAGGGGCAGAACCTCATGCTGTAGTCTCGGACGAGCCCCTCGGGGACTGGGCCTGGGGGACAGCTTCCTGCACAGGGTGCAGGGGAGAGAGGAGCTCACTGGCCTTCCTGCATCCAGGGGCTCTGCGCCCCACCTCCCATGTCCCAGAGAGGACACTTTTACACATGGCTTTGCATGCAAAATTCCTCCTCCAACCGGGGACACAGGCCAGGGCCTGGCAATCCCTGTCCCCGGCCCTCCAGCCCTGCTGGAGGGAACTCACCTTTCCTCAAGGTCCTGGTTGCATCCCCGGACATGGCTTCAGCTGTCAGCCCAGAGCCTGTGCTCCTGGTCGCGGCTGCGGTGGGCTCCGGGGACAGCTGCACTCCGGTGCCCTTCCTGCCCTGAATTCAGTTTTTGAATGTCCGGACACTGCAGGGGCAGAGGGGACGTGATCTGGGGCAGAAGCTAAGTAACTTAACAGGAAGACATTGGCCCACATTCGGAAGCCCAAGAATCGGAGGGGGGAAAACTAAACCAAGCCAAATCCTGAAAAGCACCCCTTGCTTTGGATATTTGAGTAGAACCTTGAGTCAGGGAGCCTCCTCCGCAGCAAGAATGCATGAACAATGAGCATCAAATGCCAACATGCATTTCCTGGGAGCTTAATAAAACCTGACCAGAACAACGCTTTTTCCTTCCCATCGTAGGGCCTCCCTCTTCCACCTTACAGACTACACGCATCTTCAGTACAGTGAGTAGAGTTTTTTAATAAGGCCAAACTTTCTCGTTATAGGAAGAAAACACTGAGTATTGAGACCTCACATCACTCTAGGAGTAAGTGCCAGCTTAAATTCTGTACCCAGCACATCTCACCTGCCTCACTCTACTTTGGCCTTACTTAGGAGATTCTTCCCCAGTTCCGAAAAACTAGGCAGCAAATAAGAATGAGACGCCTGGAAGCAAAGAGCAATTCATGAGCTCTCCCCACCCCAGCCTACATTTCCGAGAGGACTACTTCTCGTTGTTAAGGACACTTTACCAACAGTCCAGCAGTACCTCGAGGCAGCGAGGCACTGGACCATAGCTTTGACACTGATAAGCTGGGATCTGGAATTTTAGCAGATGGGAAAACATTCCTTTAGATTTCCAGGACTGAGCTGAAAGTTCTTCCAAATATCATATGGGACTGATAAGTAATGAAGCAAAGAAAAGTGTGGTATGTCTCACTCACACTACGTTATTTCCAGGGGTCACCTCATTTGCGTTCCCCAGCTGCTCAGTCAGGCAGCTAGTATTATTCCTAATTTACAAAATAGAAATCAGACCCAGAAAAATGAGATTATTTGCCCAAATTGACCAACAGTAAGAGTAGAAGATCTTTAAAACTCTAAAGACTGGCTCACCACACAGCCTCTAAAGCTGAAGCAGGGTCCATGTCCAGGAAAACACAGGAAATATACGGCTGCTCCACAATTGTTAGTTGAATCTAAGTATTTCCTATTAAAATGGCACAGCCTGGCCAGGTGGCTTACCAATAGGAACCTTTCAGCTTTTGGAATTCTATTGTACCTAGAACTCCTTGGTTAATGTTTTCTCTCTACAGAGTAAGAATCTCTGAAAATCTTCAAAATAGTGACTCCACATTTTTTACTAAGCCACTCAGTGGTTTCCTGAGATAAACTTAGATAATAATGTAGCATGTGTTGTTGTTTTGTAAAACCTGAGAAACAGGAAAAAAATGTTTGATTAAATGCATAGATAGTTAGAAATGCTGTCAGCCAGAAATCTGGTGTTGGAAAAGACAAACTGATTTTTGACTTGCCATGTTGATTACTTTTCCTTTTGGAAGATAAAGTTATTCATAACTACTTTTCTGGAGCTACTTTTGACCATGCAGGGCAAGCTGGATGGTAACACAGAAGCAAGGAACACCACCATGCCAGGTTAGAGACCCCAGTAGATAAGGGGATGATTTTTGCACAGACAAATTTATCCCTCACATAAAGAAAGCAGATTTCAGGAATCAGCCTGCTGCAGACAGGCAGGTCTGTGCACACCCTACTGAGGTCCCCAGTTGCGAGGAAGATGCCAAATCACCCCGCTGCAGACAGGCAGCCACCTGGTTACACATTACAAAGACGCAGAGGACACCAGACCACCA